GCTCGAGCTCTGGTGCTGGGTGTTGAAGAGACTCTTAAGGAAAATCGCGTGCCTGGTAAATGTGGCACCTTCTAGAAAGAGTGCAACAGAAGTTAGAGGAAATAATCCGCTGTGTCCAGGAGCCCGGAGGAAAGTATGTCACGCTAATTGAGCTGGTCAAAGCCCTGAGCTGGGCTTGTTCTGCAGTGTCAGGCTGCGGTGTCACCTCTCTCATCCCACATCACACACATGCACACTGGAGCAGCCAAACGGCAACAGGGTCAAAGAGGTTGCTTCTAACCACAGGGGGTCCATGGGAAATACATTGCCACTAGCTTTTCTTTATGTAAGGTCTGCCATACTTTCAAAGACAAGCTTTGATGTCTGTGCTGCTGAGTCCAATTATAAGGTGGGGTGTTTGATATAAGGAGCGTTTAATGTTTAGCCATGGGTGTAAATGTTTAATTTTAGCGTAGAGGCCACTGAAGAAGGGAAAGGCAAGGTTCTGTCCATCATTCTTTGTTGGAAGACATTTCCAAAAATATATATTTATAGTTATTTAAAGAAAAAAATCAAACAAGTTTCACATGGGGAATCTGAAGCAATTCATCACAACACGCAAACAAGGAAACAGATTAAAAGAAATAACATGAAAATCTGATCATCTGAAAGATATTTGAGATGGAGAGTTAATTACAGAATAAGGAGCTAGTGGTTGATTAAAGCTAAGTACAGCTGGAACAGAGGGAAAGTGAGTGAAGTTGATCTACGGGAAGAGGGAGGAAAAAAGCAAAACAAGAACCGAACATTCCAAAGATCAGGACAATGGTATTTTCCAGGGCAGGACAATTAATTGTATTTGTAGTAATATTCAAGTTTTTAAAAACTCAATTTTCAAATTTCAAACAATGGATGTTTGCTTCAACAAAAAAATAAAAAAAAACTATGGATTTCTCCCCCGAGGTGGGAATTCTGTTCCTTAGAGAAGCTGCTGCAAGTATAAAACTAGGTAAGCTGCTGCAAGTATAAAACTAGGTACAGGTTTTGCTAAAAAAAAAAAAAAATGTGTATTTGCTTTCCAAAAAAAGTAGTACAAAAAACATCTACAGTGCTTGCAAATGTATCCATACCTCTTCAACATTTCATTTGTTATAAAAGCTACAACCAGAAATGTCAATGAACTTTAATGTAATAAACCATCACAGGGTAGTACTTCATTTTACAGAAAAAAGGAATATTTTAATATATATATATATATATTTTAACAAATACAATCTAAAAAATGTGTGGCAGGCTATTGTTCAGTTTTTCACTTTGAAAGGCTAGTCTCACCAAAATGATTTATCTTTACTTTCAAAAACACTAACAACATATCAATGCTCTTCCTGCCACATTCCAAATATGTGCTGCAACCTTAACATTCCAATAAGATAGATCAAAGTTAATCTTTTCTTAGTTGACAATAAAAAAAAAAATTTTTTCAATATATCCAGACAGTCCAGGTCACAAGACACTGCAGTAGTAACTACAAGAGGTCCCAGAAGGCTCTACTCAGGAGTGAGCTGCAGATCCAAGAAGCAATATAGTGTAGAAAGCTAATCCTCAATATATTGGGATGATCTGATAACTGGATTAATGCTCTCTCCTGTGCTACTGACCCAGTAACCCACTGTAACTGAGATAAACTGCGATGACCACTTCCCGTCTATCTGTATAAATGACTTAAGGGGAGCACTTTCTTATGGCAGTATTGCTGCCAACCTTATCCCTTCATCCTCCATTGTGCACTGTTCTATGTGAATAGCAATTTAATTTAAGCTCTTGCAATTCTCAGACCACTTAAAGCTTATAGCTATGGTGCAATTGAAGGATAAGTGTTTCTGCTCACAGAGGCAGCTTAGAGTGCGGTGGAAAAGACATTTTAGTTGTTTTTGGAGAATTGAGGCAATTGCTTTAGTTCTACTTTTTCTTAAGTGCCTGGATTATAGTTGAGTCTTTTGAGCGGTGCTCTTATTGCTTTTGCAGGATGACAGTGGAATGAAAACTGTAAGTCTGTGTGCTCGTCTTAGTTCATATTCCTGCTGCTGTTTAAAGCATAGAAGCAGAATATGAATTAAAATTCCCCCAAAAAACAAAAAAGTAAAAGAAAATGTGCATTTTTTCTGAAGATTTTAGTCTTATATAGTATGTTTTCCATGCCCCAATCTCAAATTAAGCTAATTTGTAAGTATCTTTTGTATGGCTTCACATAATTTTATTTTGGAATAAGTTTTAGCAATTAGTACTCTAACATTAATGATTATAAAGCAGAAGAAAACTAAGAGGAAAAAAAAACACAAATCAAGTATAGAACGTGTCAGATGAGTCACATACAATGACTTGGTTTTCAGTTCATTTGACCCCTGGGGTGTGCCACAAGGCTGCATTCTCTGTCCTCTTTGTTTTTTGTTGTATCTGCTTTCAGCTTTTCATTTTATTTCTTAACAGGCAACTAGGTTTATTTTCCACCAAGGCACATTGTAAACTACTGACTGACTGCCACTCCTAAAATGCCTGGTTTACATCAGGAACTTATTGGCACTGCATCTTTTGATTTTAATGAGAACAAGACTGAGGTCAAGCTGTCTTATATAAAGAGGATCTCTTGAATCAACATGTTTTTCCCTGAGGAGGTTTGCGCTTAGGACCAAGCTACTTCTTAGAATTATAAAGTCTTTGATTTCTGCTTTCAATTTGGAAAAAAAAAAATAACTGGCCTTCAGAAATGAGAATATTTTTTCTAATTCTGGATTCCATTTACTGACCTCCTGTTGCTACTCCATATGATTTCACTTGCTTCAAAAATGCTGCAGCGAATATCTAGTCACCGGTTATCAAAATTAGTCAAGCCACCAGAAAAAACTGATTAATTAAAATGTCTACTTATTCAAATTAACTAAAACAATGAGATCACTTTATTGATGATTAGTTTATTTAAACATTAAACAGGAAAAAGGGTCTGGTCGCGTTGTTGTGTAAGATCAAATGTTTTAAAGGGTGGATGTAAGATATTTCTCTTGCTGCAAAGCTGTTTTCATGGCTCCCAAACTGCATCCAGTAAAAGCGACAATGTGGACAAGCCAGAAAAAAATTTAAGGAGACAAAGATGCTAAGAGAAGCAGGTAAAATAACTGCAAATTTGACAAAGAAACAAATAAAAAGCTCTGGATTAATTTCCATATTTCCACTTTAATGCTTCCTCCTTCAATTTTGCATCCATATATTTTGAACATCGTTCTGTTTTGAAATTTAGCAAGTTTTATTGCCATAACCTTATCCTAATTAAATGCCATGAAAAGTGACAGATTAGGATCCTTGACAAAACTGTAATAACTTTAAATGACTTCCTGTTGCTTTATGCTATTTGATGAAATCCTACTACAGCCTTTCCTTAACCAGTCTATGAACAGGTACAGGACATTGATGCAAGGTTCACATAGAGTATTACACAGCTGCAATTTTGAATAAAAAAAAGTCAGATCAGCTAAAATAACCTAGACCATAAGTAATTGCTTGATCAGTAGGGAACCATCATTTGAGAAGTTCACAATTTTAATTCAAGACACAGCATGGACTGCTGGGGCCAAGACTTAGGGAGTCTCCACATTTTCAGTTTATTGGGTAATAAATATGCCACATTCAAAGGAAAATGATGGGAACTTTAATAAGAGACTATTGCTTGTGTCCCTTTCTATTAAGCAAGCCCATCTGTACAAATATGAATTATGAGAGAAAAAAAATCAATATGTAGAGTAAAAAGCATTATCTGAATACGATTGGTACAATATAAAGACGTCTTTAGAAAAGAGAAAAAATATACACATACGTGGGTGTAATCTTATCGAAATACAAATTCCAAGAAAATACAGCAGGTTTAAGAGAAAAAAAAAAATCCTCTCACCAGCTGTTCAGTTTGGGTATTAATCAGTCTCGCTATTGGCAGCGTTTACAGCTCGGAAATTAGGAAGAATTTGTTCTGTTCCGTCTGCACCAAAAGGAAGAAAAAGTTTCCGGCTACAGCAAGATAACAATCAAAGAAAAAACTCTGAACTAAAGAGCTGCAGGTTGGAATTTTTGTTGCAAGCCTTAAAGTCCCCAATATGAGATTTACACCTAAACAGGAGTTTGTAGGAGGACTTTGAAGATTCTGGAAGGGGAGAAAGGTTCACAGACTTTACTTTGCCATCTATTTAGTATAAAAGAAATAAAACACTTGTCTCAATCAATAAAACATTTGTTGTACACTGTTGCTGGTTGTATTTTTCATGTAATGTGCTACAAACAAGAAGACCAGAACAAACTGTTCCTCTCATGACATATATCAATCTAAAAATGTCAAGCTACACTTTGCCAAACAATCTTGGCCAAGCCTTCACCTTTAATGTCCCCTCAGATCTTATTACTCTGGGAGCTTTTTTTTTTTTTTTAAGAGCACAGAGAGCACCTGCTTTCTGAGCCTTTTCTGCTGAGAAGTCTCCAAAAAGAAACATGTTAACTGTTCCTGGATGTCCTCTGCTAAGATGTTTCTATACCTGTAAGGACAGGATTTGTTGAAAATTGCCATATGTGTGTGTCTGTGTTTGTATGGGCACAGGCGTGTGCACACATCTGTGAGACTCATTATTCCACATGTGGAGTCTACAAATGGAAAATCTGATTCGGGATGATGATGCCTTTTTGACTCAGCGGGGAGAGGACCAAACGCAGAGTGAGAGAGATCCCAGAGAAAAAAAAATGTTTTTTGGATTCCATCAGCTTGGTCGTCTTTTCCCCTCAATCCAGGGCACCCTGCAAAAACAAACAATAATAAAACACAAACGTCACACTTTTTCATCTTCGCAAATGATCTATGATGATGCCATCTTTCTGGCTTTAAAACAAAAGCAGACTTTTTGAACCAATCAACTTGTGTGTTTGTGTGTGAGAGAGAGAGAGCATAGCTTAGAATGGCTTCCAGTAGCAGTTTTGGGAGTAAGGGGTGTAAATGATGTGCCTGAGAAACCTGCGCTGAGAACTTAACACACAGAGCCGCAGCTCCCTCCATCCAGCTGGGTTTCTCTGAGACTTCTGTGAGATATGCAGCTCAGTTCATTGCCAGACAGACAAGTAATATACGACCCGTGCTTGTGCCTCACACACACACACACACAAACGCACACACAAAAACAAATACATCATCACAGTATTTTATGCAGAAAGTTTCTAGAGAGCTATCCAAATGTTCTGCACTCAGGTTTCCACCGTCTGGATGCTACAACGACAAATTACTGAACTGATTTTTGCTGATGTTCTTCATGGTTTGGATCCCAAGGTGAGAAGAACATAAGGAGACAAGGATTTAAGAAATAAGAAAAAGGAGAATACATTCCATCATAGCCCCTGTGGAGCTCCAGCAGGGACGAGACTAACAGCTGTGTTACCAAATCGTGGAAAAAGGCAGAGCTGCAAGGGATACGCAGGTATGCAAGAAACATTTCCTCTTTTATACAAATAGGTGTGTTTTTATTTTATCTTGTGGGCAGCAGATCTTCTCACTGTCTGAAGCGATGCATGCAAGTTGTATTCCGGGGCAACTCCATGTGCGATTCATTTGTGAACAGGAATGTGGCCTCTGAGAAACTTACCCTGGCTCTTTATTCCCCTGTGTGCAGTGGCTGTGTGTGCAGGTAGACCACACACTCCCAGCGGCATACAAATTACTTTTACCAGTGCACCTTTTACACCTGTTCCTATGTATTACCAAAATCTGTTGTTTTTTTTATGTGTAGATGGTAAAAAGATGTACAACCGAACCACAGAAATGTGTCATCATCCTTGCGATGAGCTGCTGGATATGATCACTGAAATTCACGGTCTACGTATCGTGACAAACAACTTGCTGGAAGATCTGGAAAGAGTAGTAAGACGCACACAAATGCACCATCAGATAAGTCAAATAGGCGTAAAAAATATTTACGTAGCAATGCTTTCTCACTTAAAATCATACCTAAAGAATTTAAATTTTCATGTCCAGTTAGGTTAATGTGTTTCTTCTACAGGCTCCTTTATTTATGTTTCCTCAGGGATTAATTTTTGATGTTTTTGGTGCTCTCCTTATAGGTCTATACAAACTATTCATAAAGCCCTGTTTGAATACTTTTAATGCAGAGTTTATAATATTCACAAATTTGAAAAGTGTGCCAATATTACTTGTAACACTTCAAAAATCTTATTTTAAATGTAATATTTCTTATTCTGCATTTTATTAATCATTCAAAAAGTCTGCTTTTAATACAGTACATGTCATATGCTATTGTAATGCTATAAGAAGAATTTGGGAGCACCTTAATATTTTGTTTTTTCAGTCAAAAGAAAATGAAGAGATGCGTATATCCTTGGCTGAGTTGAGTAATGACAGCAGCAGAGGTGAGACGGACGAGGAAGACAACTATCTGGACAGGGACAGGGACGGAGAAGTGTGGTGCATGCAGGATGGACGGGTGTACGAGCAGGGGGACGTCTGGGAGGTTGACAGCTGCACCTCCTGCTCCTGCCAGGTCAGCTCTGAGCACACGTGAAGTCATGACAACCTAAGATGTTAATGCAAGCCTCAGGGTGGATGAATGATGTGTCAGTGACAGAATAGAGAGCATAAATCTCTGACTGTAGACCTGCAAAAAAAAAAAGAAATCAGCTTTGTTTAAAATTTTTATATATATTTTTTAAACTTGACCATATGTATTTAAATGTACATCATGTATCATACATCAAGCTTACTGTACCTGCTTCCTGAAGTCTACCTTTGTTCAGACACAAGTGATACTGATCTACCTCTAAGCATGAAAGAAATTGGTACTTTATCTTAAAAGTCAAAGCATAACCATCAACTTTGCTCACTCTGAGAGTTTTGTATGTGTCCATTAGGGTTTCATGTGTCTCTTGGAGCCCCAGTCGTTGTTTTCTTATTGCTTCACCCTCATCCCTCTAAGTCTGTTTCTCTTTAGAAAAATATCATTAGTTTTAGTCAAGAATGTGTTCAGGGAGTAGACAGCCTTACTCCTGACAGCATTTCATTCCTGTGGCGTGAATCGAAACATCTGCATCGAATAACATAACCTGTTTTTGCAAAATCTAAATTTATAACATTCCAGGATGGAAAGGTAGTATGTCAGCAGGTACTCTGTCCCCCAGTATCCTGCATCAACCCGTCCATTGTTGATGGAAAATGCTGCCTTGCTTGTCTAGGTGAGTGCAGTTCGGTGTCAGGCATGGTTGTCAAAGATCCATCAGTTTCCTAAATGTCTGACGGAGGATTTCTTTTTGTAAAGAAAAGGAAGATGGCTGGTCGCCATGGTCTGAGTGGACCCACTGCTCTGTCACTTGTGGACGTGGGGGACAGCAACGTGGTCGATCCTGTAATGGCATTAGCGGGTGCGCGGGGCCCTCGCTTCAAACCCGCAGCTGCTCACTGATAAAGTGCGACCGCAAGGGTAGGACATCAGTCTCAAAATCTACATGTTAATATGATTAGTACCACAATTTTGTTTAGGTCTTAAAGAATAATTGTTGAGGTTCTAGAGAGGGTTAATTCTGCTAGTCTTTAAAAGGTTATAAACACTGCTAATGTTTTCTAATACTGGTTACTTTTAATAAAGCATTTTTCTGATGGAGTCTGGATATTGGTACTTTTACAGTTGTGTGAAGCTTTAATTCTCCTGACAGTATGTGGATAAAAAAATGCACTGCTTAAGATGAGCTAATATTGGTTTGGGTAAGTTATTATTTTTTTCCTTTTGTGCACTCTAAAAAGGAAATGCTACTCCAACTAAAGTTAAATTATTAAATAACTGAAGTCAGTAGTTCCAACTAAGTTTTCTAAATTTAGTTCATAGATTTAGTTTATAAATTGAAAACTTCAACACATTTCATTGGCAAAACTTAATTAAATTGCTTGTAACCAATTAACCAATTTAGAGTCTGGGCCCCTTCCAAATGTGGGATTCCTAAAGATTCTGAAAATGAACATACAGCACCGTGCAAAACCTATTAACATTTTCTCACATTAGACCAGTAACATTAATGTAATGGAACCATTTTTGGCATTTACTTAATCCTATTAGGTACTTTAACACAATTTAATCATGTTAGCAGGGTAGGACATAAAACTATTGTGTTAAAGTAACTAAATATTATTAAGTAGATACCAAAAACAGTTGTATTATATTTTTTCATTGTATGCAATAAGTCATCATAAAATAGCCAATAACTTTGCTGTGAAAAGAAATAAATTTACAATATAGTTTTGCAAGTTTTCACAAATATAGTTTCTAAATTTGTGTTTGTATTTAATCCTCAGAGTCACTACATTGTGTTGATTGATTGATTGATTTAATTGATCTAACAGTAGAGAAATTTACTGTGAACAAAACATTTTTTTCCCTTTATTTAACCAGGAAAAATCTCATTGAGATTAAAAATATCTTTCACTACAGTGTCCCGGCCAAGACAGGAAGTAGTTTAATAAAATGTTTAATCTGCAACACATATAAACAAATATGTACAATTCAAAAAATCCCACAGAGCACACACGATTTCTAAAAGCCACCATTTATTTCTAAACTACTTCATTATAGCTCTGGCTTTGTCTGGATTACTCTTCAGCTAAACATGAAACACTTCAGGGTCAATTCTTTTTGCTGCCTCCTAGTTTTCATCTCCTGGTTTTACTGGTTCTTGCAGCATTAGGTTTCTCCACACGGGTTGGCCGTAATTGACCAAAGACACTTCCTACGCATCTTTACCTTGTTACCTACATGACCTGTAGTAAACCTTACAGTAAATGGGATTTCTGACAGCTTTTCCTTAAAAGATTAGTTATATTTGAGATTATGCCAAATTATCAAGCAAGCAACTGATAGTAATGATGTTATGGATCCTTTCAGCTTCTCCAGAGTTAACAGGTGCTTTCTGCTTTTCTGATCAATGCCTTCTTTGCCTAGCCTCAGTTCAGTTGGATGCTTTGGTAGGTTTGCAATTATACCTTACTTAGTCCACATTTTTTATATGAATGTTTTAGGTTTCAAACTAAAACAACTTTCTTTTTTACCTTTCTGATGCTTTACTTGGTGTACATGATGCTGGCTGTCTTTAAGGGTCTATAGTATTCTTTGTGGCCTTTACAGATCAGTTGTTTTTAATATAAATAATAAAGGTCATCTGGTTAACTGATTAGCTGACTTTTGCTGGCCATTTAATTTGTTTAACTTTATCTGAGGGTGTCATTAAAAAACAGGTGAATAAACTGCATGCAGCACCTTTTCCACATATATGTATTTTTAATAAAATCCTAACCATTTTTGCCTTTCCTGCAGAAATATTCTATACTTCATGAAAGCTTGTTTATACCATAAAATCCCAATAATGATAAAAAGACAAAATGAAAACAGAACATTTTTGGTGTATGGATATTTTTGCAAAGTAGTCTCTGTGGTTAAACTTTCGCTCATGCAGGTAATAAAGGACTCATACAGGTCGTAATATATTATGGAAGCTTTATCTCTATGCAATGGAGGAAATGGTTGATCTGCATTTATCCAAAACTTCCTTCCATGCAGAGAAGTTCTGAAGTAGGACTGTCAGCTGGACCCAGCATCTTCCACCCCTTTGCAGTAGTACTTGCGATAGCCAGACACTGGCTTACAAGGAGTTTGTCCTTACTACTTTTTACAGTTAACCCTATTTGAATTGTATTACCCATTTACTGCCCTCTATAATAAGGACCTCACCTTCACAGCTGTCAGTATTTATCTCCCCTGGGAAGCTTCATCCCAGTCAAAGGAACTGTTCTCAGCAGCTGGTCTGCGTAAAGGATGTGGAAGAGCTTGATTCAGCCAGCTTGCCTTAGTAGCCAAATCCCAGTATCTTCACCAGTTGAGCTCGTTCACAGCAGCTACACTGATCTCCAGAGGGAGAGTGAGCTCAGTTCTTCTGATCTTCCTGTTTGCTGTGGACGAAAAACAACAACTGTCATAAATGTTAGTATTTTTTTATGGTAGAGAGATCAGATATTGGTCCAAATACATATTTCTCATGATTTACTGGGAGTCACATGAAATTTTAGTTTGACGTTACACTCTAGCTGGCCTCCCAGCTGGAGGATAACAGCTGAAATGATTATTTGTTGTAGGTCTAGATAGAGACAAATGACACAATGAATGATTAAATCTAAAAGCTTTAAGCCCCCACTCAAAAACCTTCTTATGAAAAAAAATTTTGAAAATATAAGTCTCAACAAGCCAGGGCTAAATCTCGCTTTAAAGGAATAGTACACCCAAAACATGATTAGCCTTCATTTTCTACTCACCCCCATGCTGAACAACACTCTGGAGTACTTTTTTGATATCTCAAATGCATCTGGAGATCTGGGAGGCTTCTTGCTGTCTGCTGACATTCAAATAATGGAGGTCTATTGTGCCCGAGACAGAAAGGTCCATAAAAGTCCACAAAAAACGTGTCAATATTCCTCCATACTGCTCGTCCAATGTATTCCAAGTGTCCTGAGTGGGTAGCATCCAGAATTTACTCGAAACGAAGTCATTTAGAATGTTTTTAGAGCATAAACAGTAGTGTATGGGATTTCCTGAAAGCGAGCGCCTGCGAGCTCACGACGCTACGGAAACCGCGGCAGACCAAACCAGATGAAAGTGCGCATTCAGCTCGGCAAAGAACTCATGCTCTTCCTCAACACTGAAGTCCTCAGACATTTTTCTTTCGTTGTTTCTTTCTTTGCACAGGTAAACAGCAAATTTTTTCTTCTACGCTTGCATTATTGGCAGAGCAGACGCTGAATGCGCACTTTCATCTGGTTTGGTCTGCCGGCTTCCGTAGCGTCGTGAACGCGCAGGCGCGCGCTTTCAGGAAATCCTATACACTACTGTTTATGCTCTAAAAACATTCTAATCATGTTTTGGGTGTACTATTCCTTTAAGGGAGGATTGCTTCAAAAAATATGCTGCTATATCTACCTATTAGTTGTTAAGCTACAATCCAGTGCAGAAACTTTTAAATAATCTACCCAACATAATAATATGGATGAAGGTAAATGTATAAACATTACTGAGAAAAGTTCCCAAATCAGGGATAAATTGTCCATATCAACCTCACAAATAGAGCTTTTGTCTAGTGGACTCTGCCAGGCCTGTCTCTTGTATTAAGTCTCATGACCTTCAGTGCAAACTTGAGCAGTTTGCAGCAGAGGGAGAGGAAGATCAAGATGAGAAGATGCTTGTCTACGTAAGACTCAATGGCTGCCAACCCTAAAAACTGAACTGATAACTTCAGGTTGGAAGCTAGATGTGGAGGATCATTGTATTTATGAATGACTGTAGGTTGTTCCCAAAGATGGATTGACTGAATGCCCGACAGGAAGCCAGTCATGTGGTCATTATCCAGGTCTGTCGCAAAAGCAGAGTTGAGCAAAAAGTAAAGAACTGATTTACGTCCGACCAACCCATTATGATTATGACTGATAGCATGAGATGGTGGTTAATGAGTGTCCTCTGTAAGGTGGATGGGCTAAGCCTTAAAGACAGAGGGAGGAGATCTATTTGCATTCACTTACTCTCTCAGTAAGAGGAGTCTGTTGAGTTGCATATGATTTGAATACATTCTGAGGACATGATCTACTTTGAAGACAATATTTGGTTGTCCAATCAAAGCAGGCATCTCTGCATCATCAATATACAGTACTACAATTCAGAACCCTGGAGCCACTTTACATACTGGTACCAGCAAAGTATTGACATTTTGGATGAAGTTTAAGGATTTTGCTATTTACTCTCGCAGTGTTAAAGGATCTGTTGCTATCTTTTTTGAAGGATCTTCCACATAAAGAGAAAAGTAGAAGCAAAGACTTTCTTGGATGTTGCACATTCCCAATAAAAACATTAAGATGACTTGGCCTTTGTGCTTGTTTTCCTTAACAGTCCTCCAAATGTGTTCAAATCTCAGACACATTTTTTCTTTATCTTTGAATCAAATGGTGCAGAAAACACTTCATGGAATTTTTATTAAAGCAAAGGCGTTTTTCTGAAGCTTAGTCCAATTGGCAAATTTTTTGAAGTTGACGTTGAAGTTGAAGTCCAAGGAAGTTAATTTTAGTTTGTTTTATCTCTAGCACGAGCAGATGGGAACTGGGGCCTTTGGTCTCCTTGGTCTGCATGCACAACCACATGCGGGGAAGGTAACATCACACGGATCCGTCTGTGCAACAATCCTCCACCATCGAAGGGAGGCAAGGGATGCACAGGAAACACCAGAGAGACAAAACCATGCTACAACACACTCTGCCCCGGTGAGTAATGATACATGATTTTAGCTCAGAGTTTGACTTCAACTAATTATGCATTTTCTGTTTGTTTGTTTGTAGTCACAGGAGGCTGGACAGCCTGGAATGAGTGGTCGCAATGCTCAACTTCCTGTGGTGGAGGCCTTATGAGCCGCCAGCGGGAGTGTCTGAACCCAGCTCCTCAGAATGGTGGGAAACCTTGTGCTGGGGAAGCCACAGACTACAAAGCCTGTAACAAACAGCCATGTCCTGTTGGTAAATTAAAGCTCTGGTATATATTCATCTAAGCTCTGAATGCAAATATTATTCACTAAGTAGGCTAAGCTTTAAAATCTATGGGGGAAAAAATCATTTTTTTATTTGGGGAAACATATTTTAAACGATAATGGATTATTTTAAATCCTTGATTGTTTATTCTGCCTTATTCTATTAATGAGGCTTAGCAAATTACAAAATAATGATAAAAAAGAACAGCATATTAGTCTCAACTGTCTTTTTTTTGTGTTTTACCTAAACGTTTCATAATTGTATTCACGTTTACATCTATTTCAGACCTGTGTGTTCTTTCAAATCCATGTTTTCCTGGGGTAAAATGTACTTCAAAGATAGATGGATCTTGGGAATGTGGACATTGTCCTGTTGGTCTGAAGGGGAATGGCACACACTGTGAGGATGAGAATGAGGTAAAGGGGGAAGAAGAAAGACTAGATTACTTAAAATGGGATTTAATTGATTCTATTTAGCTCCTCTATAGCTACCCAGAGCCTCTGCTTCTTGCATTCAGATTGTTTCCAGTCAGGTTAGGTGGACCCCCCAGTCATATTCACTGTGATACTTCTTGTTTACTTCCTAGGAAACTTTTGAGGTTCATTTATTGCAATTAAACACATTTTTTTTAAAGAGGCATGTGTTATTTACCTTAGCGATGTACCACTTCCTGTTACACTATCAAACAATGTGTGAATAAATTTTAACATCTGTGCTTAAACCTCTTTACCACTGTCTCCTCAGTGTGAAGTGGATGGGTTGTGTTTTATAAAATGTGTGAACACAGATCCTGGTTTCTACTGCCTTCCCTGTCCTCCTCGATACAAAGGAAACCAGCTGTATGGCATAGGGCTGCAGGAAGCCATGAAAACCAAACAGGTAACAGTTTTGTTTTTTTTCCTTCTTTTAACATAAATAAGTCTCTTAAAGAAACTAATCACTACAGACACTTATAAATTCTTAAAGAGATTTCCTGATTGTAGGTGTGTGAACCATATAATCCCTGTAAAGACAACACACACACTTGCCACCCGTTTGCTGACTGCATTTACCTGGGTTTGGCATCAGAAGACTTGTTTAAGTGCTCATGTGCTGTTGGCTTTGCCGGAGATGGCTCAGTGTGTGGAGAGGACTCTGATCTGGATGGTTGGCCAAATGAGAGACTACCCTGCAAGCACAATGCCACCTATCACTGCGAACCGGTGAGAGAACAAAACAAAACCTTAGATGAATACTCATCTAAAATACCTTTGTTATGGCTACATCTGATCTGATTGACTGCAGGATAACTGCCCCATGCTGCCAAACTCTGGACAGGAAGACTTTGACAAGGACGGACAGGGGGACGCTTGTGATCCTGATGATGACAATGACAACATCATGGACGATAGGGTGAGGCTGTCAGGCATATTCCTAAAGCAAAAAGTTCCAACTAATAGTTTTATGTTAAAGTACAAGCAAAGGAAATTGTGTGCCTAAAATTTAATTTCAAACAAAATTCCACCACCCTGTGCTGGTACAGTTTACTTTAATTTAAATAAGGCAATGTGCATATATTTAGAGGAGAATTTGCCCATATGCAGGTTTATCAAAAAAAAAAATATATATCCACAGCAAAAAGTACCTTATTTACCAGTACTGTTTGTAACATGTTTGTAACATATAATCACACATTTTCCTTAAGCGTCCTCTAATGCAGGTTAGAATTTATGGTTGGCTCCATAATGGTAAGCTGGAATTATCATTTTAGAGCAAAGTCTCTCCAAAACATAGAACCTCAATTTCCATGCTTCAAAACTGTATCCTAAAGTGCTCTCGTTGGTTTATGCCAAAGAGGCTAGATATATATTGTAAATACAGTGTAAATTAACTAAATTAAACTAACCTGTTTGCAGAAAGGTATTTCAAAAGTTCTATTATTTTCTAGGTTATATCTGGTAAATTAGTCTGCCAATTAGCTTTCTCTGTGAAGAAACCTTACACATCAAACTGTGTGTTCGAATCCAGCCGCCTGCATCCTTCAAGGCCAGATTTGTCAGTCGATTACGTCATAGTAATGCACCATGGCCTGTTCAAATGAACAATAAGACTGCTCCTTATGCGACCGTCAAATGCAGCCTTCTTTTCCCCCAGTTTAAATGACAGGTCTGGTGTATCTTCCATCGCTAACAGTATCCAATGATTCATGGTGAGTCCAAGCAAGCCCCCTACTCTGTGCTCAGAAAAAAAGGTGAAGAACAGTGGTGAAAATACTAAATATAGTTTAACTTAATTCAAGTATATGAACAGATTCCAAAAGTTTAGCACTGCCTTTACTTGTCACTGTCTTTACTAGTTGCGAATTTTATTAGTGAACTAGCATATATTTTCAACAGTACAGAGAGCATGTTGTACTGTAGCCCCTGAAATCATATTTAATACATTTTGAAGTCTTCTAGAATGTAGACACTGCTTTCAGGATGAACTTTCCCAACATGAACAAATTGGCAATTGCTCCAAATTTCCTCAATTTGAGTGGATAATGTCAAATTCTTTAAAAATAATTTTTTTGAAATTGATTTAATGGTTTAGACAGGCAAAGCTTCTACAATGTTCTGTAGTATGACGTCACAATCAAGTGCACATGATGTATTATTTTCATGTAATATTTGCAGATTTAAAGGAATAGTACACCCAAAACATGATTAGCCTTCATTTTCTACTCACCCCCATGCTGAACAAAACTCTGGCGTACTTTTTTGATATCTCAAATGCATCTGGAGATCTGGGAGGCTTCTTGCTGTCTGCTGACATTCAAATAATGGAGGTTTATGGCGCCCGAGACAGAAAGGTCCACAAAAGTCCACAAAAACGTGTCAATATTCCCCCATACTGGTCGTCCAATGTAATCCAAGTGTCCTGAGTGGGTAGCATCCAGAATTTACTCGAAACGAAGTCATTTAGAACGTTTTAGAGTCTAAACAGTAGTGTATAGGATTTCCTAATAGCGCCCCCATGCGCGCTCACGATTCTACGGAAGCCGGCAGAACAAACCGGAAGGAAGTGCGCATTCAGCGTCTGCTCTGCCGATAATGCAAGCGTAGAAGAAGAAATGTGCTGTTTACCTGTGCAAAGAAAGAAACAACGAAAGAAAAATGTCTGAGGACTTCAGTGTTGAGGAAGAGCATGAGTTCTTTGCCGAGCTGAATGCGCTGGTTTGGTCTGCCGGCTTCCGTAGCGTCGTGAGCGCGCATGGGGGCGCTATTAGGAAATCCTATACACTACTGTTTATGCTCTAAAAACATTCTAAATGACTTCGTTTCGAGTAAATTATGGACGCTACCCACTCAGGACACTTGGAATACATTGGACGAGCAGTATGGAGGAATATTGACACGTTTTTATGGACTTTTATGGACCTTTCTGTCTCGGGCGCCATAGACCTCCATTATTTGAATGTCAGCAGACAGCAAGAAGCCTCCCAGATCTCCAGATGCATTTGAGATATCAAAAAAGTACTCCAGAGTTTTGTTCAGCATGGGGGTGAGTAGAAAATGAAGGCTAATCATGTTTTGGGTGTACTATTCCTTTAAGCAGGCATAAATGGGAGGTGTTCTGATTAATTTATTTCCCCAAGTGAGTCACATGTTTTAGAGAAGATTTAAATGTATTTTTAGTTGTTATTTTTTTTTTATTGATATTACTTAAAAATTTCGGCATTTTTATCAATATAATAAATATCTATTTGTCCACTAAGAAATTACATTGCTTTACACATGAATGTAGAGCAAGAAATTTCAATTACTACAGCAGCAGTATAAAAATATGCTATTAGCATCTGGAAAGACTGCACAACAAAAGATAACTAATATATCTCAGTTAGTTTTGGCATGAGTTGTTTTTTTTTTCTTGTATTTTCTTAGTTTTCTTGCATTTCATGGCTTTTTTTCATTTCCTGTCTACCTTTAGTCTGCAGTGTTTTTATGTTGTATTATTTTTTACAAATGATTTTAATGTTATTGTAATCAAAATTTGAAATGTCAATTAAACATTGTTCAAGTATATACATATGCATTTCAATGCTTTTTTGCTGGATAGGACAACTGCCCAGTGATGTTCAACCCTCGACAGTTTGACTCTGATGTGGATGGGGTCGGGGATTCCTGTGATAACTGTCCTTTTGACAGCAACCCTAAGCAGACGGACACCGATGGCAATGGAGAAGGAGATGCCTGCAGCATTGACATAGATGGAGATGGTAAAAGCTAAAAGCTATTAAGTAGTCTTTAAACATATAACTTTTTTTCACCCAAACATTAACTTTCTGGCTTAATGATCTACATCTTGAGAAGAAGCAGTTGTTAAAGCTGGAAAACTGTCTGAGTGGTTGACTATTGGAAAAGCCATACCCCCGGATGAATTATATAATTTTATCAGATTGTAGAACTTTTTTTTTTTCTCTTTACTGCACCAAAAATGTGAATATAAACTCAATGGTAAAAAAAATATATAAAAAAATAAGTGTTGATAGTGTTTTAGCATCTGACTCTATGACATACTGAATGGAAGAGAAAAAAGGACAGTAAATAATATAAATCTGACAAATTTTTATTTTTTAACTATCTTTGTATAGAGAAACTGAATGAGCATGACAACTGCCCTTATGTGTACAACTCTGACCAGAGGGACACAGACCTGGATGGTGTCGGAGATCAGTGCGACAACTGTCCTCTTCTTCACAACCCCCTGCAGGTTCCTACAATTGCAAACAGAAACACACACATCTCAGCATAATACAAAGATCTAAGAGTTTTAACAATATAAACCCATTGTGTATATACTCTGGGTGTTCTCGTAGCTCGACTCTGACAGTGACCTGGTGGGGGACATGTGCGACAACAACAATGACATCGATGAGGATGGACATCAAAACTCTCTGGACAACTGTCCCTACATTGCCAATAGCAACCAGGCAGACCATGATAAGGATGGAGAGGGAGACGTCTGTGACCCCGATGATGACAACGATGGAATCCCAGATGACCGGGACAATTGTAGACTGGTTCCCAACAGGGACCAGCTTGACTCAGATGGTCAGTAATACCAGCTTTTAAAGGAATAGTACACCCAAAACATGATTAGCCTTCATTTTCTACTCACCCCCATGCTGAACAAAACTCTGGCGTACTTTTTTGATATCTCAAATGCATCTGGAGATCTGGGAGGCTTCTTGCTGTCTGCTGACATTCAAATAATGGAGGTCTATGGCGCCCGAGACAGAAAGGTCCACAAAAGTCCACAAAAACGTGTCAATATTCCTCCATACTGCTCGTCCAATGTAATCCAAGTGTCCTGAGTGGGTAGCATCCAGAATTTACTCGAAACGAAGTCATTTAGAACGTTTTAGAGCCTAAACAGTAGTGTATAGGATTTCCTAATAGCGCCCCCATGCGCGCTCACGATTCTACGGAAGCCGGTGTTATGCCCAAAAGTGCATGCCTGCCGAAATATGCATCCCCAGTCGCGGGAGCGCGCCTCGCTCTTTTGAACTGCATATCGACGAGGAAAACGGATTAAAATATGTTCAATGGAGCTTAGGTTCTTATATTAATGATATAAAAACGTTTAAAAATACCTCTCGTGGGAAAAAAGTTGTGGTTATTTGGCAGATTAATTTACAAAAGTATGGATTTTTTGAACAACATTAAATCCAAAGATTTTGACCATGGTACGGCTGATTTATTTGTTGTGGTCTCTTGCTATTTACACACAACACTAAACCGTGATAGCCGAAGTGAGTTTTGAGTTTGCAAAGCTTTTTCTTAAGTGGAAAATCAAACGCGCACCTACAAAGCACAGCGTTCACAGACCAGTGAGATGCGTTCGCTGCGCGTCAGAAAGCTATGGTGCATTCAGGAGCATTAGAACATTTTAAACTTACAAGAATGAGGCATAAAACAGAACTGTATTTTTACTGAACTGTATTGTATTTTTTTTTTGTTTGTTTATGCACATCTGCTAGCTTTTTATTCTAAAAAATCTATAATATTACAGCAGCAATTTATCAATGTTTTTCAAAATCCTGTTTAAAAGCTCCAAATGGGGCTTCAGATCATATGAAGCAACAATTGCACTGTCATTGTTTTACAGGGCAGTATTTGCATTTGCTGATCCTTGTACTTAATTACTGATGAATATACAGGAATACAGATGTACAAGTGTCAACTCCTCTGAGATAGCAGGGGATGGAATTTTTGGCAAGGACCTGCCAAAAAATGCATCCCCCTTGTTTTTAACTTAAAGATTGTCCCACACACATGAAATTCACACTGGTAGCTCAGCACACATGTGGAAGCAGGTAGAAATTGAAACATCAGCTACAAATCTATATTTCTGGAAAAAAGCAGGGGATGCAATTTTTGGTAAAGACCTGCCAAAAAATGCATCCCCCTTGTTTTTAACTTAAAAATTGTCCCACACACATGAAATTCACACTGGTAGCTCAGCACACATGTGGAAGCAGGTAGAAATTGAAACATCAGCTACAAATCTATATTTCTGGAAAAAAGCAGGGGATGCAATTTTTGGCAAGGACCTGCCAAAAAATGCATCCCCCTTGTTTTTAACCTAAGGACCTGCCAAAAAATGCATCCCCCTTGTTTTTAACTTAAAAATTGTCCCACACACATGAAATTCACACTGGTAGCTCAGCACACATGTGGAAGCAGGTAGAAATTGAAACATCAGCTACAAATCTATATTTCTGGATAAAAGCAGGGGATGCAATTTTTGGCAGGTCCTTAGGTTAAAAACAAGGGGGATGCATTTTTTGGCAGGTCCTTGCCAAACATTGCATCCCCTGCTTTTATCCAGAAATATACACTTGTAGCTGACGTGACAAATTCTACCTGCTTCCACATGTGTGCTGAGCTACCAGTGTGAATTTCATGTGTGTGGGACAATTTTTAAGTTAAAAACAAGGGGGATGCATTTTTTGGCAGGTCCTTAGGTTAAAAACAAGGGGGATGCATTTTTTGGCAGGTCCTTGCCAAACATTGCATCCCCTGCTTTTATCCAGAAATATACACTTGTAGCTGACGTGACAAATTCTACCTGCTTCCACATGTGTGCTGAGCTACCAGTGTGAATTTCATGACTGTGAGACAATTTTTAAGTTAAAAACAAGGGGGATGCATTTTTTGGCAGGTCCTTGCCAAAAATTCCATCCCCTGCTATCTCAGAGGAGTTAACACTTGTACATCTGTATTCCTGTATATTCATCAGTAATTAAGTACAAGGATCAGCAAATGCAAATACTGCCCTGTAAAACAATGACAGTGCAATTGTTGCTTCATATGATCTGAAGCCCCATTTGGAGCTTTTAAACAGGATTTTGAAAAACTTTGATAAATTGCTGCTGTAATATTATAGATTTTTTAGAATAAAAAGCTAGCAGATGTGCATAAACAAAAAAAAAAAAAATACAATACAGTTAAGTAAAAATACAGTTCTGTTTTATGCCTCATTCTTGTAAGTTTAAAATGTTCCAATGCTCCTGAATGCACCATAGCTGAATGACGCGCAGCGAACGCATCTCACTGGTCTGTGAACGCTGTGCTTTGTAGGTGCGCGTTTGATTTTCCACTTAAGAGAAAGCTTTGCAAACTCAAAACTCACTTCGGCTATCACGGTTTAGTGTTGTGTGTAAATAGCAAGAGACCACAACAAATAAATCAGCCGTACCATGGTCAAAATCTGTGGATTTAATGTTGTTCAAAAAAATCCGTACTTTTGTAAATTAATCTGCGAAATAACCACAAGTTTTTTTTCCCACGAGAGGTATTTTTAAACGTTTTTATATCGTTAATATAAGAACCTAAGCTCCATTGAACATATTTTAATCCGTTTTCCTCGTCGATATGCAGTTCAACAGAGCGAGGCGCGCTCCCGCGACTGGGGATGCATATTTCGGCAGGCATGCACTTTTGGGCATAACACCGGCTTCCGTAGCGTCGTGAGCGCGCATGGGGGGCGCTATTAGGAAATCCTATACACTACTGTTTATGCTCTAAAAACATTCTAAATGACTTCGTTTCGAGTAAATTATGGACGCTACCCACTCAGGACACTTGGAATACATTGGACGAGCAGTATGGAGGAATATTGACACGTTTTTATGGACTTTTATGGACCTTTCTGTCTCGGGCGCCATAGACCTCCATTATTTGAATGTCAGCAGACAGCAAGAAGCCTCCCAGATCTCCAGATGCATTTGAGATATCAAAAAAGTACTCCAGAGTGTTGTTCAGCATGGGGGTGAGTAGAAAATGAAGGCTAATCATGTTTTGGGTGTACTATTCCTTTAAGATACGTCTAATTCATCATGACATAAGAAAATTCTTCTACTGCTTGCTGTGTTTTAGTGACAATATTAGCTTGCTTTCCAATAAAACAGTGATTGAGCCAACAGCACTTAACTTCTCTGCTTAAAAAAAACACTGTTACTTTCGTCTGTTTGTATAAATTTACTGTTAAACTGCTCAAGAAAAATCAAGGTGAGACTGCAGGTCAATTGCTCATCAATTCACAGATTCTAGTTTAAAACAGGTATTAAAATAGGTTAAAAGTATTGTTTGAATGTTTTTATTTCTATGTCTTTCTAAATCTCTAGGAATATCTGTCAGGTCTCTGCTAATGCCAAAAAGAAATAACCATAAATACTCAGTTTGTCATGTAACTAATTCAACAAAGTCTTTATAAATCCCAAACTAAGTTTTCGTAAATCCATATGCAGTCCAAATCACTGTAAAAAAAAAAAAAAAAAAATGAGGCTCATTAGCTTGGATTCATGTGGAAATAGCTTTACTAATAACTTTTTTGAATTGATTATACTCCCCCCAAAAGAGAGTCCCCTGGGTGGTAGGACACATTGCCCATTAAAGAAAACCACTATTTTATTCTTCAAATGCACAAAGCCATGTATCTGTTCTTTCTTTTTCCCTGTCCATTTACTCATAGGTGATGGCAGTGGGGACGCATGCTTCGATGACTTTGACAATGACAGCATTCCAGATGCACTGGATGCTTGTCCTCTGAACCATGATATTGGGGTGACAGACTTCAGGAAGTTTCAGGTTGTTTTGTTGGACCCTAAAGGAACAACACAGTCTGACCCCTTATGGATAATCCGAAGTCAGGGAACAGAGCTGCTGCAGAAAGCCAACTCTGACCCTGGGATTGCATTAGGTAAGATATAAATATAAGTAATAATATTTCTGTGGTTTAGCAGGAAATCGAATATGTCTACTCTTCAACAGGCTATGACAAGTTTAGTGCAGTAGACTTCAGTGTGACATTTTACGTTAACACCAACCGTGATGACGACTATGCAGGGACTGTGTTTGCTTATCAGTCCAGTCGGCGGTTCTACGTTGTCATGTGGAAACAGGTGAGCCAGCCTCTTAATTCAGAATCATTCTTCTATAATGTTTTATATTACAGGTTTCATTGGCAAAAAAGGAAGAGTTAATAACAACAAAAGCTTAGCTCTTTTTTAAATTTGTTTGTAGTGATCCATCCTCTCTCACATACAGATCGTAAATGAACATTCACTTTCCTTTTATCGTAATTCTTTCTTTGCATGCAGGTGTCTCAAGGTTACTGGGAGCAGAGGCCCTCAAAAGCTTTTGCCACAGCTGGACTGTCAATAAAACTCGTCCATTCTAGCACAGGGCCGGGGGAGTACCTACGCAATGCTCTGTGGCACACTGGAAACACAAGACACCAGGTAAAAAAAAAGAAAATATGCACTTTTTCACTCTAAGTTTTGGACTTACAAACTTTGAAACTTTAAAAATAAAATTTCAAACTGTTAAAAACTAAAATTAAAATATAAGAATAAACACAAATTTTTGTCTCACAATAAATTAAAATCATAATATTTAATAAATTAAATAAATGAATGAAATATGTAAAGAAAATACAAATTAAATCATAAAGATCTCATATTGCAGAATTAGAGAGCACAAATTGAGCTTGTATTTATTTATTAATGCTCTTTTTTGATGGACTTTTAGTGTATCTTACAACTAGAGTACCCTTACTTATGACTTTGGTCGAAGTTGCTAAATCAGTCCTATTACCAATGGTATTGCTGTTTACTAATTGGAAAAGAAATTGGAAAATCTACATGAACATTCTTTATTCCCATACAGTAGAGGTTAAAGTGAACAGCTAGCTTTGTGTTCTATGATCATGACAAAACATGAGAAATAAGCTTAAAATCATAGAGATGATTTTATTGAAGGGTAAATGTGTCAAAACAAAGCATGTTCAAAGAGTCAGAACATAAACTCTAAAAGAACCTCTTCCTGCTTCCCGTTTCCTGCTTGTGAACACGGGTATACTGCGTCACTCATAAAGGACCACTACAGTCACTATTACAACCATAACAATGAAAAAAAGCCTATTCTATGTGAAAATTTGCACATTTTAAGAGAGTTAAGCAATCCTGTCTTGTAAACACTAAAAAGTAGAACATCCAAGTCTGACTGGAATACAGTAGTAGCCATTCAAAATTTCTCCACTTTCTTTGATGTGCCCTTGACTGATCCTTGGCTGGTCCATGGCTAGTTCCTTACAATTCCTTCTTAAAAAAATCTAAAATATTCTTTCAGCCATGATTTGTGGACATTAAGATCTAAAGAGAAAGGTTATCTCCTGGTCAGACCCAGTAATTCAATGAAAGGGTGGAGTTAGAGTAAAAAAATATGCACGCCCCTTAGAAGGCCAGTGGTTGGAAGTTGGAGGGGATTTTGCTGCCATTCAGCTGGCTTTTGACTGGGAAGGGCCATTTTAATGGCTGCTACTGTATATCTGGTTTAAGAACCTACAATATAGCTTTGCTTGTATATACTGTAGCTCTGCTGGTATCTTAAAAATCATAAGATTTATGGTACATTGGAATAATTTGCAGCATATTGTTAAACAGCCAGGATGAGAGTCAAATCTCAACTAGAAGAAATTGGAAAGCCCCATCCAGCTTAGGGCCCAATTCCTGTATCAACCAAAGTGGATCATATCTTGGTTCTTTGGTGTTGTTCATCATTAGGGTGGAGAACTTGTATGTTTTTTGTGGTTGTGTCATTCTGCTATTGCAAAAAAGGGGCTGAACATAGAGGCAAAGCGATCAATTTAGTGGTCCGTCATCCAAGCGATCATGAAATGGGCATGACTGAGAGATCAAGATGCTTGATAAAAGTAGCTTAAATGGGCTCAGGGTGGCTGGGTTCACTTTTAAAAGTTAAAAGACCAGTGGCTAGCATAACTATAAAAGAGCATTACAGGTATTGGAAGTATTGAAAAAGATTATGTTAAATAGTTTCAGGAACACCATTCAGGAATATTCCAAAAAGGGAAGCCAGATGTTTTCCATAAACATCCTGCAGAAAGGAGAAGTCAGAGCAAAGCAAACTATTTTGGGGATAAAAATACCTGAGGTACTCAGAATAAGCTGGGAAATGTCACTGAAAAGAGGGAGGTCTGGTTTTCTCTTCAAGGCCTGTTTACCTCAACTTCTACTCAATGGGTAGATGAATGAAGCATGAACTGCATATATTGTATTAAGGATAATAGTAAAACTGTTCCTGTTAACACCTTATTTATGGTAATATTTAGTGGAATGTGGTAAATTTATATAAAAAAAAAACTTTTTCTTTATTAGTAATAAGCAATAACTACTGGTATTGCCAGAGGTGTTAGATAACGAAGTACAATTACTTTATTACCTTAAGTAGAAAGTTTTTCCATCTATGCTTTACTGGAGTAATTATTTTTTAGACAACTTTTTGCCTTTATTGCTTGATTTTTTTTTTTTTTATCTCTATTTTCTACCCCTTACATTTTAAAAATAGACTTGTTTGTTTTATTTAATTTAAGCTCATTTTCCTTATGGCCTGTTAACATAAAAAAAAAAGAAAAAAAACATCACAATTATTTTTTACATCCAGATAATTAAGTTCTTTGTGGTTGAACTTGCTACTGCAACAACTTGTGGTTCGCCACATACTAAAATAAATAGTTTTCCAAGATGATGCAAAGTTAAATTGTACCATGTTACCATTAGTTATAAAAGTAAGAACATTAAGTATAAGCAAGTTATCATCCAGAATTGTAGAAAAATGTCCTTTGATAGGGTAGTGCAATAACCAGTATAAGGTTTAAAACTGTGGTCCTTAAATTATTTCCTGCATTACTTTTAATTTGATAATTTAAGTAGTTATAAAAATGGTGCTTTTACACTTTTACTTGAGTACAAAGTTTAATTCCAAACTCTAACTTCCACAAAAGTTTTTTTAAACTGTAAACATTAATACTTTTAACACCTCCGGCTAATCCTTTTTCCTGTAAACAGTCATAAAGGCTGTTAATGGGAAAATGAAGGGTTTATGTTCTACGTACTCCTAGATACACAAATTGTCCTTTTAATGCTCTACGTACTTTTTATACAAAATACTGTATAAATTTTTTAGATCATCCTTGCAATCAACCTGCATATCTGTTTTAGGTCAGAACATTGTGGCATGACCCCAATAAAATTGGCTGGAAGGACTACACAGCATACCGCATGCACCTTACACATCGACCCAAGACTGGGTTTATCAGGTACGGTAGCAGTTATGATGGATTACTGATAGTTCCTGAAGTTTTTTCATGTTGATGTGAACCCTTTTTGTTTACTTAGCTTTCTATTTCTATAATGTTGTCATAAACCAAGCTAAATTATAGAATGTGCGTTACCTGCTTGTTTAATTATTTCCAGTCGAAAAAATGTTTTTTTCTATAATAATAAAGATTTTTTTTTTTTTTTTACTGTTTGTGTTCAGTGAAGGTTAACTTCAGAGTACTCAGAATTAGTACATTAAATGTGGCACATCCTGTTCAAGAATTTTAATTTTTTCAGCCTAAGAAACATCATCCACCTCCAGGAGTTATTTTTATGATAACAGTGGAATCCATTTCTTCTGGCACACTGGGTTCTGCCCAATCTGCAACATCTGCTTCATTTTAGTTCTTCCCCTCACTAATGGGCTTGGAATAGCATGAAGGGAAGAATAAAAACAACCTAATGAATTGAGTTACCTTTGCTATGTGTTTTTGCTTTGTGGATGTTGAGATTTTCAAAACCACAGTGAGATTTTTAGCCAAAGAAGGAGAAAAATCACTCTCCCCTTCAGGCCTACTTATCCCCATTTAAAACATTAAATAAACACTCATCATATATTATAGGCACTGAATGAATGCACTTATAGAAAGTGGTCCTTTTATAAAAGGTGAGTCTGAAAAGACAGCAGAGCTCTGGGACTTTAAACCAAATACATTTATTGATATTTTTGAAAAGGTACTAGGTTGTTGTTATCATGATCCTGGTTGATGGAATGTACATATTTTATAATTGTGGTATACAGAAAAAAATATATTTTTTTGCAGGTTAATAGGAAAACAGCATACTTACCATTTAAAACTAATAGTCTATCCATCCATCTATCCATCTATCTATCCATCTATCCATCTATCTATAGTTTAATCACAATATTGTATTTATATTATTCCTGATGGAAATACTACTGCTGACAACACTTTTAGCTATGTACTAAGAAAAATAAGCAATATTACTTTTGCTTTAGTGCCGTGGAGTTGGGAGTTGAAGATTCCATCATAGATCTGCTTCAACAAGTCTTCTGTCATTAAGACAAGGCAGACAGCACTGTAAACATCACATTCTCTGATTTTTCCGTTGCATTTTAACAATTTAGTCTAGTTTATCTTGTCAGCAACTTCAGAAGACTCATCTGGAGGCACCAACAATCACTTGGATTAAACATTTACTTTCAAACAGAATATGGTTTGGGAGACCTAAGGGTCAACTGTCTAACAAGGTAGTAATCACTATAGCACAACAGAGGATGGTACTCTCAATTACATTATTTATATAGTGTGATTCATAACATGTCATCTCTTGCGCCTAACATTCAATCAGAATATTAAGTACGGTCAGATTGGACACAAGTTCTCATGAAAGGAAACCCTGCTTATTGCACCGAGTCACTGACCTTGTAGGATTTGGACCTCCTGGATGAGCATGCAGAAACAGTAGATATTTGCTTGCACTGTGTCATTCACTCTATAGCAATCACTCACACCATGTGTGTATGCAGTGAAAGTGGAGAAGAAAAACTCCCTTTTAACAGGAAAAAACCTCCAACAGAAAGGGGGTCAGTGTGAGCGGCCCTCAGCAGAGGCTGATGGGGGAATCAAGGAGAAAAAAGCAGACATACCAAACTAGTCCAAACACAGCTCAGGTTCCATAGTTACCTCCAATGCTACTTCACCTTCCACAGATGAGCCAATCATATTTGGAGGGGTGCCAATGATTTTAATTGTAACAAGATCAATCTTATTTATAAATATTTTCATAAAGCCATTACTGCTGGGGGAATCGACAGTTTAACAGTTTCGACTATCGGTAAGTTTGGCAAATGTAGTACAAGGAAATGGTGAATAATTCTTATTTTGCTCTATTAATTAGGATAATGCTTTTTTTGTTAAATGAAGGGTCATTTTATACAGCATTAGACTGTTTTTCCAGATTCTGTTGGATTCTTATAGATGTGTAGAGTGGCATGTTCTCTCCAGTTTCCTAACATCATGCTTTAAAGTATGTAGCTCTGAATTATACCAAGAAGCCAGTTTCCTATTAAGGGAGTCCTTTTTTTTTTCAAAGGGCTATGTTGTCTAAAGGAGTGCGCAGAGAATAAGTAACCCTGTATATATAATCACTAATCTTTGAAGGGAGATAAATGAAATGGTTGTCCTTTACAGTATTGTTCTATGATACAGAGGAGATATAAAAAAATGGCTAGGATTCTTTAAAATTTATTACAGTATGATATTATAATTATCTAAAGAGAAACCTTCTTTCTAGAGAGGAGAATTCCAGTAAATAAAGTTTGAGTGTTAATTAAAGTAGTCAGATAGGACACGGTTGTGAGAAACACTGATATTTCCATAGAATCAATATGTCAGCAAACAGTCTGAAGAGTTAATATGAGAATGTGTGGAACTATACATAGATATACCTTTTTACTGTAAACACCTTCAACTTCCAGTACAAGACCGAAAAAAAAAAAAAAAAAAAAAAGAAAAAAAAAATATATATATATATATATATATATATATATATATATTTATTTATTTATTTATTTTTTTATTTTTTTATTTTTTTTTCTAAAGATCTTTAATGCTTTGAAGTACAGTAGCATCTATTCAAAATGACCCTTCCCAGTCAAACGCCAGCCAAATGGCAGGCTACTCCCCTGCAACTCCCAGCAAAATCCCCTTTAACTTCCAGCCACTGGCCTTCTGCTGGGCCTGCATTATTTTTTTTTTTATCTGACTCCACTGAATTTATCTGACTTTCACTGAATTACAAGGGCTCACCAGGAAATAACACTTCTTTTTAGATCCTAATGTCCACAAATCATGGCATAGAGAACATTTTAGTACAAAGATTGATGTTTAAAAAGGAATTGTAGGGGACCAGAAGAGGGGCCATCAAGGAAAGTTGGGAAATTTTAAATGGCTACTTCTGTATATCTGCTTAGAAAATACTCCAACAAGCACCAGAGGCAAATATATAAAGTATATAAAATAACATTTAGCTATATTTGTATACAAACTATATTCAACATGCAACACTGACTGTGATTAGTTTTATCAAAATATAGAATAAGGAACTGTTATGTGTTTGTTAGTGAAGTAAATCCTCTTGTAATATCTTCTTGATATGTTAAATCACATTGGAGGGAGGCATCTCTGTCACTTCTCTTGGTATTTAACCTCAGGACACTCCATGATTTCTCAGGTTGCGATTTTAGATTGAATCCAGCGCATTTTTTTGATAATTTGGTGCATCTGCTACATTTTAAAAGGTAGTTGTTAAACAAATAATGTTTATAGAAATAACATTTTAAATGGAAATAACTTTAGGTCTTCTGGTTGCTCCCTGCATGTACAATTAGTTTACATTTGTATTGTTTTTACCTGTATTCTGCTCCTGCTTCAGGGTGGTTGTGTATGAGGGTAGAGGGATTCTGGCTGATTCGGGAGCAGTTTATGACCACACCCTGGCTGGAGGCAGACTGGGGCTGTTTGTCTTCTCTCAGGAACAAGTTATCTTCTCAGACCTACGATACGAGTGCAGAGGTAAGATGTCCATCCAAATGTATTCTTAATTTCTTTCTTTTTTTAAAATATTATTTACCTTTTTATGAATCTGAATATTTCCAATTGCTGCCGGTAAATTGGAAGTTTGCCACTTTGTCAGAATATAGGATGTCTCATTTCTATTCTGTGTTTTCCTCCACTCGTGAATAATGCACAATGATGCATAGCAGACAGTTACAAAGCATAAAAAAAAATAACCTTGCAAAAAATATATGAACATCTTTCCTTTTTTCACATTTATTCCCCTACAAAGTACATTGTATTTTTATAGGATTTTATTACTTAAATCTGCAAAGACATATATATGGAAAAAAGATGGTAGAAAAAAGAAACAATATTACAAAAAAAATAAATAAATACAAATCAAAATCCGCATAGAGTGGCATGCATTTGAATATAAGCCTCTGGAACATGCATTTGAAAATTGACATGAGCATGCTTCCTGTGTGTTAGTAATTCCGTTACGTCTATGGGTGTTTATTTATGGCAATTCTTTTTGGAAGGTGAACCCCTGCCCCAGCTTTGAGTCTTTTGGAAACCTCTAACAGGATTTTTTTTAAAGCATTATCCTGTATTAAATTTTTTATAAACTCTGACCAGCTTTCCTGTTTGTGCTAAAAAAGAGCGCCTCGGTTGCATAGGTATGCCACCAACATATTATCTTACCCTAACGGTGGATAGTTTTGACATATTTAATTTTTTTTAAAAGATTACAGTGTCTTGTTTTTTTTTTTCTTTTTTTTTTTCTTTTTAATGATCATTAGAGACCTTTATGGAAAAACTGGATTTTACAGAGATTTGATTAACAATAAATTAACAATAAATTAACAAACAAATTGTTAATTTATTGATTCTGGGACTTTTGCAGGTAGATGGTTGCCCTTTATTTTTTATTGGGGCATTGGAGCAAAGTGGGAAATACATTGCATGTCACAGTATTTAGATTTTAATTTGTGAATGTGTTTGCTTTCACTTCACAGTTATACGCTACTTTGTGTTAACTATCTTAACTAAACTAATAAATAAGAGAGAAAATGAGAAAAAGGTAAACAGATGTTAACACCACATAGAAGAACAAAAAAATTAAGGTCTTTAGAGCTGATATTTCTGCGTTGAGGTATCTTATACAGCCCAGCAGGGTTTGTAAAGCTGGTGTAAAATAGAGTTAGGTGGGAAATGGAAATCTTTTACCCATGTAGAAAGAGTAATGTATGAGGGCTCTGATTCATGCCTCAGATCATAATGTCTTTGAAGTCATGACATTGATCTTGCTTTCTTTCTGATTCTCAGACAACTGAAGCACTTTTTGGGATGCTGCAGCACAGCAAACAGCCAGAGAACCACAACAATAAAAACAAGGACTTTTATAAGAGGGCAAGGGAGATAACAGAGGATGCACCAGGCCTTTATCCTACCATCACTATCAGTTAGTGACCATATTCTATCTATCTGTCAGCTTTTTATGCAACAGTATCGATTAAAGACTCTCATTCATTGTATATTACTCCTCTGGCTGCATGTCTAATGACACCTTTTGTTGCTTTTATTTGCACCTTCCTAGTGGCTGTAAATAATTATTTATTATGAAAGGCCAGACATACAACAGGCGAAAATACTGACAGAGCAAACTGAGGACATGTTTGGTGGTAACTTATCAATAAAAACCGTGTTTTTTTGATCAACTGCTTTGTTGTATGTTTTCTCTTTTGTCTAATGACGCCATAGTGGGTGAAGCCAGAATATAAGATGGTGGAGTGGTCTCTGGCGCCCCCTGGTGGGTTATAAAGTTAATTCACATCAGGAGAACTTTGAAAAACATTATGGTAAAATATGCTGTTTTTGAAAAAAGAAAAAAGTTGATGAAAATGTAAAATGAAAAAAAAAGTAATATAAAAAATTTAAAAAAGTCAAATAAAAACACTTTGTTGCCTAGACCAATACTCAATTTTTTAGGTTTTTAAAATTGAAGAAAAAGTCACTGGAAGGCAACAGTTACAGAACAACAGCTTATAATCAAGAAACCTATTACAGCCACGACCAAAACAGCTCCAGTCATTGAAACGTTACATACAAATACATACATTTTTACATCCACATAGACATTATATATCTATAGAATATTTATGTACAAGCAGGTATGTTTAAGCCATTTTTTTCAGCACCTCCAGGTTCTTCCAGCAAGCCAGACTACTTCAATTTCCTCAGATTAAGACCTTTGCAAATGTGTTCAAGTTGAGTAGCAATCATGTACTCCAGACAGAAAAATGTGCCAAAATCCAAGATGATTGTGGCTCATGCTCATAAATATTAAAACCACTTTTAATTTTAGGTATGTCAGCCTGACATACCTATGCCTACAGTATTTTTGCTTCACAAAGAAAGGCTTTTTGACATGCCACATTTTAACATGTTTTTTAAAACAAGAATTAAAACTCTAAATACTTTAGCTTCAATTTTACAGTTATGAGCCACTTTCTATTGGTATTTTTTCATAAAAATCCCAATAAGATTTGTTAATCTTTGTGACTGTAATATAAAAAAGGAAAAGGGCCTAACATCCCTGAAGAAACATTTGAGAGAGATTGCAGGAACTGAACTAGGAAGTGAGCAGAGGCGTAGCAAGAAAATTTCTATAAGGGTGGCCAGGCAATGAGCAATGTATACTGAGGGGTGGCAAAAGTGGATAGGCACCAGAATCTCAGGATCAATCTATACTGTTCCAACAGGAACAAGCACAACATCCATATTCCTATATAAAGACAAACTATTGTTTCCTACAGCCTACAATAGATTCTAACAAATAGATGCATATATTTAAACATCTTTCTAGATAAAATCTATATTGGATAAAATTCTTTGAGGTTTGGGTTCTGGAGCAAACATCTCTTCCATCGTCATTACTTACCTACTTTTATCAATATCATTCTACATTAAATTGATATTTACAAGTACTAATATCTACATAAATTGATAATTTAATAGCTTTTTATTAAAATTGATTTTCATAGTATCTATGATTTCACTGAAGACTCTTAGATGACTTCCAGAGACACATCAGTTTATCTTTACAGCATATAACACAAAATCTAGTTCTGAAACAGCATGAATTCTCTACTGATCATCTCTAATGTTGGTATATTGATGTGCATAATTAACCACAGTGTTTTTGTTGTCAAGTAGTTGTTAATATATATAAAATTAAAATGTTGTGAATATTTTACTTGAGAGAAAAAAATGCTAGGGGTGGCCAATGATTGGCTAAAGCCGGGCCTACACTGTACGATTTTCGGGGCGATTTTCCAGTCGTGCGAGAAACTTTCGATCGGGCCGACTTTCAGCCTGATTGTGCGCCGTGTGTCGAGAAGTGTACAGGGGTTTAGGAGGGGTGATCAGCCTCTCACAACCACCTCTCAATCAGGAATCGTGAGGGTGGGAGAAAATCAAACATGTTTGATCAATCAAACAAGGTCAAATCGTTCAATGTACATGCGCAAACAAGGATTCTTCTTTTTCTTCTTCCTCTCAGGAGTAAACACAGAAACATGGCGGGGGTGCAATGAGTGAAATGCACTTCTGTCTGTAAAATTGACAGACTTTAACATTCACGTTTCCTCAGCCATGCCTTTTTTCCAAAAACGTCGTCGAGCGGTTCACTATAGTTAGCTTTATATTCCTCTTCTACACATTTGGTTTCCGGATAGACGAGTCAGAGCAGCTCCATCTCTCTGAGGGAGCTGAGTCCGACGTAGTTTTTAGTCGTGCAGTGTTAGCAGGTAGATCGCATGAGAGCGTCGGGCCGACATAAACCGTGAGCTGTGAACTCACACTGTTTTCAACTAACACAGCAGGGTTTAGTCGAAAACAGTGTGAGCATTAGCTGCGTGCAACGACTGAAAAAATCGCAGTGTACGCCCGGCTTAAGGGTGGCCATGGCCACCCCTGGCCCCCCATCTAGCTCCGCCCCTGGAAGTGAGATCATTTGCAAACTAAGTCAAAGCATTTCACCAAGCAACTTGCTGACAGTGAGCAGCATAAAGGGATCCAGGCAAGTCTGAAAACACCTCAATTAACAGTCAAATATTCAATAAAATCCTGACTATTCTTTTTCTCCATTTTGTCATGTGAAAAACTTTAAGTAGTATGTATATTTGATATTGTTCCTGTTTTTCCCAACCTACAACCTGCAGGGCCTGTAAATCTGAGTCTCTGCAGAAAACCGACCAAGGAAACTGATCCTTTATTGCGTCTGACTTGAAACACAAAACCCGTTTCACCGGTTTGAGGAAATGGTGCGCTCCAATCCACACACACCCTCACACTCAGCCGCAGTCCACCTGGTTAGGTGACTGAGTGACGTCACGTCCAATAGGATAAAAGAATGAGGAAGAGTCAGTCTTTTGGGCTTGAGCAGTTATTATCGAAACGCAGACAGGGAAATAAACAAGCTCTATGAGGTTTTAGTCCGATTAAATAAGGCGGATTGAGTGTGAATTGTTGAGGAATTGAAGCTCCACTGAGTGATGGTAACCGGACGCATCGGAGACTGGTGCGCTCTCTTCGCGGAGCGGCACCAGTCCGGGATCAACTTTGCGCTGCTGATCATTTCCTACATCCTCTACCTCTTCATCGGTGCCGGGATCTTCTCCGTCATCGAGCTGCCCTACGAACACGAGCTTCGACAGGAGCTGAAAGAGGCAAGGCAGGACTTCCTGAGCAACAACACCTGCGTGTCCGACGCGCACCTGGAGGAACTGCTGGCTCGCGCGCTCCAGGCCAGTAACTATGGAGTGTCCGTCCTTGGTAATGCCACCAACCGGAACTGGGACTTTGTGTCCTCCTTGTTCTTCACCAGTACAGTGTTGACCACTACAGGTGAGACTGTTCACTTCTGAAGTTTTTCTTTTTGAAACCATAGTTATGCTGACCTACTAAAACATAATACAGGCCAGAGAAACCTCCGTCTCCCTGTCTCCTAACCTAAGCCAGGTAAAACATTCATGACAGATGATATGGTTCATGGATGGCTGAAGACAAGGAGTCAGTGGCGGTTCTAGACCAAATGTACCAGGGGGCCAGCATGGGGGCACAGAAAAGCAGGAGAAAAAAAAAAAAACAGGGCAAGGGATTCAAATACATAAAGAGTGCTGCATGAAGTGAAATTTCTATTCAATTAGGTTAAATTAAAATTCTATGTCTTATTAGGTCAATATACTTTCAGAATTTAGGAATTTTACATATTTTGACTTAAGTTAAAATAACCGTTTTGTGTAAAATCTAAATTAGAACTCAAGAAAATCATAAATTCAGCTAATTTCTAAAATTTGTTTAAAAAAAAAACATTTAGCAGATGAAAACTTGGATCCTGTCTCAATACCACTGAAGCTGTTGCTTTATTTTTTTTTAAATAATTAAAACAGAATTTGTAAAGAAAAAAATGAAATAGATCCAAAGGACCTCTATCATTAACCATGTCTGTTCCAACGCATATCATCATTAGAATTTCTTTGAGTATTATGCTCTACAGGGGCACTGGCCCCCCTTGCCCCCTGTCTAGAACCGTTCATGCAAGGAGTTTAACCATGTCCTTGATGCATCTGTGTGAGGCTCTAATCTACCTGATTTCTTTGGGTATGAGGATCTTAAAACACTCTTAAATTGGCTTTACCTCTCAATAATCATATGGTTCCTTTTCTGTCTTTCTTTTTCATCTGCTCAATGCTATAAAAACCCAGCACACTTTTACAGTTTAGCCGATTCACATTTTACATTTTTCTATTCTTTCAAGTTTCTGGTTGGAAAATAGATTTGAATTTTCCAAATGATAAAACACTTGTAAATAATTAACATTTTTCCCAATTACCTTTTCCGACTTATCCTCCTTGTGATGGTAATCATGGAAAAGTCATAACTATAGAAATTACCAGCATTAAATGCAAGAAATTGATCGTATAGACGTTTCACCATTTTGCATTCAACAATTGAAATAAATTCAATTTGTGAGTTTAGAGATGTACTCTACCTGAAAATAAACCTACAAGACTTGAACTAACTTGGTTGAAAGTGTAACATATTTTAAGATCCGTTTCCTGTTTAACCCTCAATGCAGTCAGAAATATGATCCGGTTTTATCCGTTAGCAGAGAGCAGACCTACTTTCCTTTGAGTACACTGCAAAAACGATCCAGAGATAAGTAAATATTTCTTAAATTAAGTGTATTCACCCTTAATTTGAGTAGGTAAATAACATGATTTGCCAATGGAATTATATTTTTACTCTTAAAATAAGATAATTAGATAATATAAACTTGAAATAAGACAAAGTTGTCATTTTCTTATTTTAAATTCAATAGAAAATGCACTTATTTTTAGGGAAAATTACTTATTTAGATTTAATTTTTTTGCAGTGTAGGAACACAATCCTCATGTGTTCAACTTAATGGGTTTTCTATTGTTGCTATTGTACAACAACACACTGCATTTGTTTGAGCGGGGAGGATGCTGGGCGAGTCTGTGAAAGCAGAGCTGAGATAAGTTTAGGATTTTCCTGTTCATCGAGGTTCCAGTCTTTAGCTTTGAGCATGATCTTTAAAAGCTGCATACTGATGGAGAGAATGATTTGTGACGTGGTACAAGGAGTCCTACTAGCAGGAATGTGAATAAACCCTTAGAGGTGCTGAAGGTTTTTAAAATGACAATCTATAGAACATCATTTTAAAAGACATGTTACAGTAACTGTAACATGTCTTTTAAACCACGTTTTGCTCTCATAGAATCTCTGATGCAGGGATTTGATGTCTTCTTTCTGTCTTTTGGTTTCTATCAAACTTTTTGGCTTTTACCTTACTTCTCTGAATATAAACAATCACAAGTTTAGCAAGACTTAATAGCTACTGTACTATCAGGAATCTAAAGAAATGTTTATACATAACCTTGTCGTCAACCTCATGGTGCCTCAAGTAGAAAAGTTACAGTGGGATGATATCTCATTCAAAAGATATGGTAGGACAGCGTAGTAGATGGAGGAGACTAATTGGGACTTTGTCTGCAGTGAAGTTGACTCTTCTGATGTCGGATATGGTGAACCAAAAAGGGAAGCTCTTGTTGAACAGATCTATCTTTAAATGATTCGTTATCTATCATTCACCACGAAAGGATGAACAAGACTGGTGTTGCTGGGTGCTTTAGGAGCGTATGGTGATATAGTGTTTTCTAGGTTCATAGGGTTAGGATAAAGGATGGGTAATTGTTAGTTTTGAAGTTTGCAGTTCAAGGAAAACCTTTGTGAGTTCCTGACACAACCTCTGATATCAATAAATGAGGAAAGGGGTACCCAGTTGCATTGTCGTCTGCTCCACAGGGGGCTTCACAAACCGTTCATTTTTGATGAGTTGGGATTGAGACTGCCTTGGCCAAGGTGTGCTGGAGGATCCTTGGAAAAATGGGCGAAATATTAAGAAAAAATTATTTTTCCATATCATGACATATATCTCTTTAACATTATTATCTAATTTAAATGATGTATCCAATGAAGGTTAAAAACTGGGGGGATTTAAAACTGAACTTTGAGGGTAACTTTATCAGAAAAGACTATACTACCTTGACTGACAGTGTACTGAAATTCCTTTTCACTTTTGCAATAACAAACCAGTGTGAGACTGACTTTTTCCCTTTAAAAATACTCAAAAAAGGTAGTGACACAAATGAAGACCAGCCCTCCGAGTACACACACTTTCAGGGGTCTGAATTTCTTTGTTCTTATCATAACCGTTAGTTTAATCATTTGTTATTCAGTGGGAATATAGCACAGTGTTAAAGAAAACAGTTAATATTTTTATGATAGTTCAACAGGCATAAAATTAATAAAAACATTTAGAATTTTTTTTTCGCCATATTTTGTTGCCTTGTCTGTTAGTCTGCGAAGAGGGTGCCCCCAGCATAATGTCAATGCCATGAACCCCTGATCTAGAAGAGCAAATATATTTAGTAATAGACCTGCAAAGTGAAAAGTTAATGAGTTATGTTGTAAATATTAACCTATTTTTTTTATTTGTGCAGTATAGTTTGGAAAGAGTTCTCAGCTATATCAGATCATTAACATTTATTGTCACATGAAGCCTGAGTTTACCTCCTACTAATATATCTGGCAGCTTCAAAATGAAACAGTTAAATATGTATAATATATATTATACATCATCGTATTTTGTCATTTCAATAATCTGCTCACATTGTCACATTCACCCTTTGCTAAACAGCCTTAAAAAAGAATGTTAGCTTTTATGTCATAGAGAGGCAAAAGTCTAATTTTTATCTTCCTCAAAAGAAAAGATTATGCTCTTTGCACACGCTGACTAATGTAAATACTGTCCTGTCATTTTTATGTGCAACATGGTGGATTTATTGCATGTATAGACTCTAGTTATGAATAGGAATAATTTTTAACAGGGACACTACAAAACATTTATAAAGATGTGACTTAAAATACTAATTTAACATTAATGTTGCCAAGCTTCTACTCAAGTATTAAAACTAAAAAAAATCTAGTTTAAACATTTTGAAGAACTAAGAACATCCTTTTTCTTCTATACTGTATTGTTTGTGTAAACCATCTACTGCAATTATATGCTATTGTGGATGACACCATTTTCTCTACTTTCAGGTTATGGTCACACTGTTCCTCTGTCAGATGAAGGGAAGGCATTCTGTATCTTCTACTCCATCGTTGGCATCCCTGTTACACTCTTCTTCCTGTCCACCATAGTGGAGAGACTCATGGACCTGCTTTCGCGACGCCCAGTCTCTTATTTTCACCGGCTGTGGGCAATGTCAAGATCGCAGCTAGCCTTGATCCACGCCGCTTCTCTCAGCATCATCATCGCTCTGTTCTTCCTCTTTATTCCTGCCTGGATTTTTCTCAGCCTTGAAAAAGACTGGAACTTTCTGGAGTCTCTTTATTTTTGCTTCATCTCTCTCACAACAATAGGCCTTGGGGATTATGTCCCAGGGGAAACTCATAGTAAGGAGGACAATCCCCACCCACAGCTGTACAGGCTGGCCATTACAGGTGAGATAACGTTCAACACCCTAACATGATAAAAAAAAAAAAACTATCTAAACTAGCGGTTCAAATTTTTGAAAATGTCTTGCCGAGAAGAATGCTCCCATCGCCTGCATAGAAAGGTAAAACTTAAATTCTGAACTACTTTTAATTGATTTAAATAATACTTTTATCAAGATTAGCTGATTTTATTTATGCTTTCGGTTGTTAATACTAATACTGTAAAACACTGATATTCAGCACAACAGAAGGGGTTTGAATGTTGTTTCTGAATAAAACTACCTTTAAAGAGACATTATGTAAGTTTTAATTAAAAACAATCTTTAAAATAGCCTTTTTATTCTAACTTGCATGACTAAAACATAGTTTGAAGAGCCAACTGACACCTCAGTAATTCAGCACAGATGCATCTTTAAGCCTGTAGCCTATTTTCCTAAATTGACTAGGGTCAGAAGTTTGTGCGCTAGTTGGTGGATGTGACGTCAAGCTCGTCCATTTTGAATGGATCTGACCTTGCCAACAATCAATGTGTTAGATTCAAAGTAGCTTTTGTTGGTGCGATTGGCATCCAGCTGAACTTAGACCCCGATGGTTAGTCTACGAAAGGTGAAAAAGTTTTTAAAAAAACAACCTTGTCAAGTACGAGCATGCGTTACTAGAACGAGCTGAGGAGTGCTGCAGTTCTGTGTTTTGGCCACAGATGGCAGTATCATTCTGTAAGGCCTCTTTAACGGCTTTTTTTTCAACAAAAAATATGTACTGTAGAAGAGATAGCATAAAGAAAATGCAGAAAATATTTAATCCATAAAAGATGGTATTTTTATACCGCCTCTGAGTGGAAATGTTAGTGGGAAAACAACAACCTCAAAAAACTGGTTTGGGGCCAGCATTTCAACCTCCTTTTTGCTGGTGGTTCTGCTTCCTTTCTCCTGTAAATATCTACTGTATGCACTGGAGCAGTTCCCAGCAAGGATTTCATGACCATCATCTATAGTCATGAAATCTAGATCATAACCAAAAGAATGAGACAGCTTTCTCCAAATTGTGGCTGGGAACTCCTTAGAGGTAGGGTGAGGAACTTGGCCATCAGGGAGAGGCAACCTCATTCACATCTAGAGAAGTAAGCTAAGGTTGCTCAGGTACCTTTTTCAGATGCCCTCTGGATGCCTCCCTAAGAAAGTGTCCAGGCAAAATTCACAGAGAGGAGGCCAAGGGGACAACCCAGGACACACGGGAGGCACTATGTCTCTTAGCTGGCTTTTTCCCAAAGTGTTTTTTTGGGAAACGGAAGTCTGGTAGTTTCCATTTACACTGCTGCCCCATGACCTGATGCCAGATAAGCAGAAGGGGACTAGTATTATTAAGATGAAATTAAATCACATATCTAAAATAGAATATAACGTTGGACTTTCTCATTTCCAGTACCTGGCTTACTGCATTTTTTGTATTTTATTTAATGTATGTTTTTGTTGTAGTTTAAATATATTTAAAAGAATAAAAACACAAAACTTGGCCCTAAAAGAATAAGCAGTTTCTCACAATTTCTGTTGTTTTCTTGCCTTGAAAACAAAGAAAGGATTGTCAGGCAATTTTTTTAGGAACTCAAAAGTAAGAGCTATTAGGTGACCTGCTAACCAGATCTGGTTTGTCTAGTCATGATGTTTTTAACTTTATCACACCCCATTGTATGTATCTGCTTGCTTTTTCAGTCTATTTGCTGCTGGGCCTGGTGTTCATCCTGGTGGTGTTGGAGACCTGTTACGAACTTCCTCAGCTCAAACTCCTCAGACGGAGATTTTACAAGGAAAATGTTCGAGAGCTAGACTCCGAAACCACCAACATTATCAGTCGCGATCAGCTGAGCGACCAGATAACCGAGTCTGCAGATCACACACACGATCAGCTGCCAGTCATCTCTTCTGTGTTAGAACAGGCCGATACGCTGCGCCAGAACGGCACGTCAACGCCTTACACCCCGGCTTCAGGAACTGCTGCTAATGGGAAGCTGAGATAACAGCTCCAAATATCAGGAAGTGGGTGTGGTGGAAGTTAATGAACCTGATTATGAACTGTATTTGCGCACAATAGAATCGTACTGGTGTTGCACCCTGCCAACACAAACACATATACGTGCTGCAAAGGCAGGAACTCTCGGTGACTTCCTAGAAGTTTTAGAATCCTCACAAAGTCATAAAGCTTCAGTTGCAAAGTTGCACAGCCAGTCTAGATGATTTTACATTCATGTCTAGGCCATAAAATATCTGAGATAGTATTTGCATTGGGAATGAGCCCTCTCAGAAGCAGCAAAGCCAAGACTCATATGAATCCATTACCATCAGATAACTCAATTCATGCATGTATTCCATAAAGAAGAGAAGATGAAATGTTGGCTCTGAATAAATACTTTCTTTCCTGGTTTCTTTTAGGGAAGGATTCACTTCTAATTCTTTAAACATAGCAAAATTAACACTGTGGTATACAAGTCATGCCACTAGAGGGAAGCACTTTCATGTTGTAGGAAGGAGTCATTAAAGTGAATTTAAAAATGAAGATATTTTCATAAAAGAAGTTCAACATGCTGCTCTGAACTGATCAAACAGATAAAAGGGGTTGTTTCTTTGTGGTTGGTGCCTGTTTTAATGCATATTTTGTAAAAGACCTGGTACACCCAGGTTTTCACACGATCATTTGTTGTTATTATTATTTTACTGCTGTAAGGATGTTTATATTAACAAGATACCTTTTAAATTGTTTTTATGAAATCCACTGTTTGTTCTGGGTTTAATATAAATGTTTAAACAAACCCATTGCATGAATTGTATTTTTATACAGTGCTTTGCAAAAGTATTAATACCCTTTTTACATTTTAAATAGTTTTGCAGTAACTCATTTTAAATGATTTTGATGGGATTTCAGTGATGGAATAACAAAGTAGTGCATACAAAAAGTTATGATACATGGTTTGAAAAATAATTTTTAAAATAAAGATCTAAACATTGTATTCATTTGTATAAAGCCCCTTAGTGTGACACGTGTTTTGCTGCAACAGTCTTTGGCTTCCAATATTTGGAGATATGTCTATACTGGCATTGTACCTCCAGAGATTTAATGTTTTTATTATTGTTTTTAAAACAGCTCGGGCTTAACCATGTTGCATGGAGAGTTTCAATTGCATTCGAACCCTCTATTCAAACTGTGTATACAGTATAATTTATGTTTTTCTCTACATAACAAATAGAAACCATTATCTTCCACATGGTAAGTCTCACTGGACCTGCAGTAACTCACAACGACTGAGCCCTCTTGCATCATGAGTATCATGTTTGTTTCTGAGGGATAGCATAGTGAAGACATGGTACAGGCACATACATTTTTAAAGATTACATGAGGCAGACAGGATGTCAAACATGGAAAGTGTAAAAAAAAATGGATCCATTATATTTCAGGGAGGTGGGGAAGGGGATGCTGCTGGGATGCATAAATGGATTCTACTGTACACACTTCCAGTATGGTTGGGCATGCAGTACATGTCATGATAGATAGATATATGCTCCCTTAATTTCTGGGAAAAAGGTTAGGATCTTTTTTTATTTATTTATGTTGAATTATATCCTTGCTGTTCTCTGAATTTATAACTTGGTTGCATGAATTGAGTAAAGTTTGTATTGGGGCTGTCCATTACTGGTATATTAAAATGTCATCTGCAAATAGACCTATGTGTTCCTGAAACATTGATCTTAATATTATTTCATTAAGTTCCTCCCATAGACTTATATACCGTACTAGTGCACTTTGAAATCTATCTATCTTTCACTGCAGGTCTAGAGAGCTGAACTTAACGAAATTTCTTTTTGTATACACTTGTGTGTACAAAATAAAATCTAAGTAAAATCTAAGTCTAGTGTCATATCGATACATACATTACACTGGTGCAGTAAGTTAGTCTGTGGAAGGAATTTAATTCATTCAGTGTACACTATCACAATATTTGTGTCAAAACTCAACAAGGTCGGCTATAATTTTTTGTTGTTTTTGTTGTTTTTATTCGAAGTATACTGCAGATCTTAGAGTTTGGTCAAGGATTGATATTGGTGTACATTTGTGGGCATTGGTTCTTTTCTTGGGAATTATTAAAAATATTCCTTCTTTTCAGAACAGGAAAGTGGCCTTCTTTGACAGTGCAGTTAAACAAAGCAGTTAAGGGAAGGTATTAAGCCCTGTTATAATAATTGTTTTGCTGGAAGGTGAACCTTCACTCTAGGCACAGGTTTTATGAGGCCTCTAACAGGTTTTCTTCCAGACTGCCTTGCATTTACCTAATCCATCTCCCCATTGAGTCCAACCATCCTCCTTGTTGCTGAAGAAACAGATTCCCTACAGCATTTTGTCTGTTAAGTGCAAACTTACATTAAACATCATACATAATTTGCCTAAACATTTCAATTTATGTTTTATCTTACCCAAGTAACCTTCTTCCATGTGTTTACATCCTCCATTGTTTGCCGCAAAAAACTAGAAAATATATGGGTTTATTACAATTTTTATCTGCCACCTTGAAAGGTTTCTCAAAACGTATTGTTTTATCTTGACATTGTTGTGTCAATAGTTTTTTTTAACATGTTGTAAATGCTTTGGTACATCAATTCTCAGCCGTTTTTCAAATCACCAATTACTTAGCTTATGTCAATCAAAATGTATCTACTGTGCTGTCTTTAGGTGTTTAGTTCATTGCATAGGTCTATACATGCTTAATAGTTTAAAAACGTTGTAGGAATATTCAGAATTATTCTAGATATTTCCATTAAATGTTTTTTTTTTTCCTAAATCTGTGCTGAACTGGTAAACTGAACATTCTAATTTCTGGAATTGTGCTGGTAAATGCAGCTGCATATTGAATAACTGTACTGGCTTGATTCTGATATTCTTTTTAAAGGTGTCAAGGTTGGTTGTGGTTTGGAGGACCCAAATGCATAGGCAGAGGTGAATACTTATAGTTTTAATGAAAATGGTTAACAAAGGCAGTCCAAAAATCCAACTAAAAATGTAACAGACCAGAACCATGGAGACTTCAAGGGAAAACACGTAGAAGGAACCAGGGAGAGACGAGGGGAGACGACTACAGCGAAGACAGGACCAGCAACAACAAGGAACCAACAAAGAGTGAGAGCAGAGGGAGAGCATAAATAGCTGACAGAGACAAAGGGAGGGCTAACGAGCTGACAAGGAGCAGGTGTGAGAGGAGACAACGAGGGAGCCAAGGGGAAAGGAACACACACACACACGAGGGCAACAGAGGACAACATGAGAACTAACAAATCTAGAAATTACAACAAGATAGGAATTAAACCAATAAAAACTAGAAAACAAGGAGCAAAGTAAAGCATAACATAACCAAAACCATGACAAAAGGATTTTTTTGGGGGGGATGTTTATTTTCTCTGGTGTTGGATGTTTTGTTGCTGAAGGAATTTCTGCTTTTCTTTTTATTCTGTGACATTTGCTATGATTCATAACAACATTTTGCTCTTTTTTCTACAGCCAGTTGAGTAATATCTAAAGCTAAAATAATATTTCATCTACTTTGGCAAGAATCAGATGAGTTGAAAGGAGGCACCAAGAATGCAAATAATGAGCAAGGACAAGAGAGACAGAGAGGAAATTTAAGACACCTCTTCAATCTATCATTATGGCCAATGTTAGATCTTCAGCAAACAAGTTAGATGAGCTAAAAGTTTTAGAAATAACTCAGCCAGAATACTGGGAATGCAGTAACATGTGGTTCATTGAAACAGTGACCCTTGAACCTTAATCTTACCCAGGCAAATGGATCCAGTGTTGTCGAAGTCTGATGAACTAGTCCGGTTGGAGGTCATGCACAGTAACACAGTCCACAGGGCAGAAAGGTTTCCAGAAGGACAATATGAGAGTGGAATCCAGGATCCAACAGAGAGAATCAGTATGAGGAGGCACACTAACCAAGCTGAGTTTTCCTGAGGGAAAGAAGCAGAAGGCAGATCCAAGGCTCAAGCTTGGGTCATACATGATAGAGAGAAAAATCCAAACAGAGGCAAACAAACTTGGTCCAGAGGAAGGGCAAGAAAAGACAATGGGAGTATCTGACATGGGGAAGGCAGGCAGGAGAAAACGGGAATGGAAAAGGTTGTGAGGAGGTGAAACTAGGAATGTTGGATGGTCTTCTTACGTGAATGGCTTTCATGAATCTGGCAGTTACCCACTACATATTTCTGGAGAGCCAGAAATATGTTGCGCTCCTCTCAGCAACTTCCAGTAATTGGAGTTGCCACAGGTGTAACTGCTCCAATGACCAAAGGAACTACAGCTGTCTTCACCTTCCATGCTCCATCTAATTCTTACATGGGCCCTTAGTATTTTTCCAGTTTGGAATGGCCACATCTTTAACTCGGCCATCCTTTGTTACTCATCAGTGATCACAATGTTGGGTTTTGTCTGTTGTATCTAGAATTCGCACAGTAGCTTACCTTAGCAATTCTCTACTACCTTGGGAGGCGACTCCCATTTTGACCTTCAGTTTGTATTTTTTGCACAGATGTTTCTTTATATTAAGTTAGCTGTTAGCTATTAAGTACCTGGCAGCCCATACCACTATGAAAAACATAAGAAAAAGTCAAATTATACAAAACAGAGAAAACAAAAATGCTGCCTTATTGCAATTATTGAACTAGTTCTATTGCAATGTATCAGAAACTAAAGAGGTTATAGGTTTATGGAAGACTTTAGATTGAAAAGTATCTTTCTTACTGTTTCCATTTAGGACATTTTAAAGTTTAGAAAGTGGGTGGTTAAAGTCTTAGTGATGTAGTAATAGTCTTATTGGAATTGTTAGGGTTTTTCAGGTTAAGTTCCAAGTTACAACCACTGAGACACAAGGAGACATTACACACACAACCTGATTATAGATTTTATAACCTATAAAAACAGCAAGTCTAAGAGTTCATTGCTCCCATGTCTCTTTCATAGAGTCCTGTCATTCATTCTTCTCCTCGCCTTTCAGCCAAATTTAATTAGATAATTTAAAAAATATAGTTGGGGTTTTCATCTGTTGGTCCAGCACCTTTTCAGTGGTATTATTGGTAATACTTAAAGATTTATTTTTCTCACATCTATATGTTCAATTTTACATCTGAGGTTTTCCAAACTCCCAATGTCATATGTGAGGTTGACAGAGGCTTTTAGATCAAAAAAGTATATGCTTTAGGTCTTCTGCAAATTCTAATGTTACAAGTAAGTACAGTTCATCAGTACCAGACTCAAATGATTTTATGGCAAAGGATTTCCACACTACAAAAACAACCTAAAAATCAGTAACATTTCCTTAAAATAAGTGTATTTACCCTTATTTTTAGTCCCTAGATAAGATGATCTGCCAATGGAATTAATAATTTTAGCTTCAAATAATATAAATAGATATTATACATCAGAAATAAAAGACTATAGTTATTTTTTCTTAACCTAAAGGTAAATTGTCTATTTCCATTGACAAAGTGTCTCACTTACCTCAATCAAGAACAAAATGCACTTATTTTAAGAAAAAATATTTAATTGGATTTCAATTTTTCAAGTGCAATAAAAAGCTTGTGCAGAATGGTATTTATTTGCAGGTGATACTTTCAAAATTGTATAGTTCTTTACTCAGTATTTGGAAAAAGTGGGTTTTTCATTTAATCTGATAGTCGAGGTAGGAATGAGTGGCCCAATCTTTCTGATGAACCTTAATGGAAAAGATTCCCAATGAAAAGCTAGTGCAAAGTGATGTTTATTGGCAGGTAATACAGTCAAGTTTTTAATTTTTTTGACACAGTATTTGAAAAATGTGTGTTTTTCTTCAAATCCAGTCCAGATACAATATAAGTTAGTGGTCCATCTTTGCGATGCACCTTGGGTACTGCACCATTATGTTTTGGAGCAGGTTTTCTGATGGGTGCAACACTTTTGAATAGTCGACAATGTTCAACAATAAGATGTTTTACAAAAAGGTAATTCCCTCAGTTGCCAATGCACATAATAATTTTGGACAGTGTCAGTTTCTATCACCACAACATCATTAGGCAATGGTTTGAGACCAAAAAAAGGACATTGGATTTCCAACAAACCTACTCTCCATTTACAAACCTGATTAAGGAATTTTTCTCAGCATGGAGATGGAAAGTATATAATCACCAACCTGAAACACAGATGGCCCTTCAGGCTGCCATGCATGCAGTGTGTGATGACATCACAGCAGATGTGTGCAGAGCTTGGATTCGACACTGTAAAACATTCTTTCCATGCCGCCTTTCAATAAGAGATATTTATTTTGAAATGGATGTGAACATTAGGCATTTCATACGGCACTGCATGTACAGTTTCATCTAAGGCGATTTTCCATTCCTCACATTTCTACTTTAGTTTTTTTTTTATATTTTCCTCTCTGTATCCTTATTGACTATTTAAAAAAAAAACAGTAAAAGCGGTGAAAATATGAATATGAATCTTCTTTTGCCTCTTGCAATTTGACAATATTTGTCATAAAAATGTATCCATAGTTTACATAGGAACACATCTAAAGAGAATGCTCAGTACAACATGATTAGGCAACATCACTGTCTTAAGCAATGACACATGGACTTGTTTCTCTGATGGCTTTGAAATATATATTCAGACAGATATTTTTTTCTTGCAGATTAACTAAGG